TAATAAATGGGCTGCCATGTCCAATGTTTTGAAATAACAACTGTAATACTGATTTATTCTTTATCAGTAAAGGATATATTGGATTTGAACATTTGGTTTATCTCATAGTATCTGGGGACACAGTGAGGTTATATTTATGAAATTTAACATCTCCATAGAGAAACACAGGCATAATGCCACCAGGCCAAGTTACAGGTCAGATCTATCTCCAAGGAGACAAGGTGTTGAGGGACCCCTCACAAGAAAAGTATAGTGCACTCTTAAACTGGAGAACCTTACCATAGAATATAATACAATGCACTGGACTGTAGGTCTGTAAACAAAAATGCATTTGTTTTTGTCAGTATCTCACTGTGATAATCTGTAACATATGCATTACTATTTTCCTCAAGAGATCAAATTCTGATTTTGTGGTAAAAGGGCAACTGACATGACCTTTTGGCTCATCATCATGCTAATAGTCTGGAAGAGACTCAACAGGTGACAGTGTTTGCAGCACAGTGCAGAAGCACCTGTCTGCTGTGGACTATCTCAACTCAATATAAATGAATCTGACACCTGAAAACAAAAGCCAGAGTCAGCCATTAAGTGAATAAAGAGATGTAAATGCGATCACTTTGGACAAGAGGGGGAAGGGGGCTGAGCGACGGAAGTGGCAACTGCGCTGACCTGTGGACTCAGAGCATGCGCAGGAGAGCACTGGGTGTAGTCTGCGAGACTTTTCATGGCTTTGCGCATTCTCCACTGAGCTGTTCCGAAGAGCACAGCAGTGTCTGCGCCAGGCTCCGCTCCAAAGACCGTGACCCATCAGCGCAGAGCTCCAGAGCACCCCGCGTCGGCTCCAGATCCGCGCACTGAGCGCTCAAAGTGTGCTCAAAGTTTCCCTAAAGTTTTGCGGACTCCAAATCTGGTTCAAGAGCGCTTGAGCATTTGAAAGACTGCGACCAGCGGCGGAACATGGCCTGGATTCGAAGGTTCGTGTCTCTGCTCGCGTGCTGCTTCGCTTTGCCGTGCGCGCGCGCGGCCATGGACGAGTGTACGGACGAGCACGGGAGCGCACAGAGGTGTATGCCAGAGTTTGTGAACGCGGCCTTTAACGTGACTGTTGTGGCTACGAACACATGCGGCTCGCCGCCGGAGGAGTACTGCGTACAGACCGGCGCTACGGGCGTCACCAAGTCGTGCCACATCTGCGACGCACGAGACCCCCGCAATCACCACAGTGCGGTCTACCTCACAGACTACAACAATCAACAGGATGCCACCTGGTGGCAGAGCCAGACCATGTTAGCGGGAGTGCAGTACCCGCACTCCATCAACCTCACTCTGCACCTGGGTAAGAGCTCGATCTTCTTAAACTGGAATAGACCACGGCTGGATGTGAGCTGGAAACAAGAGTTTAAATGTGAAAGTAGCTTTAAAGTTGCCTCAGATAGGGGCTATGTAGAGTATTGGGCCGCCCTGGCTGGGTGGGAGTTTAAAGTAGGCTATGAGGCCTACAGTAAAAAGCTTTAGTCTATTAAAGGGCAATTCTTTCTTTTGTGGAAAGGTTTCAGCCAGCACCAGTGAGTCTGGTCACACCTGGTCACACCTGGTCACACCTGGCTACACGTGGTGTTATGGTCCTTTGCACACAATCCCTTTTATTTTCTTTAATGAGTCGGTGGTCATAGTTGGAGCACCGCCCTGAGGGCTGCAAAAGATTCTAATATCATGCACTTGAAAAGTAAATGGGCCCCATTTTACTTTACACTGAGGCTGTTGGGCCCTGAAGCCAAAAAAGGTGAAGAAGCTCACAAGCAGTAGGCTTCATGGGAGAACTATTTAGGGCTTGTTTTTGAAGCAAACCCTTACACTGAGCAGGCACTAAAAAGATGTGGCATTAAATATGAATAAGTGTCTTGTGCTCCTCAGCTGCCCCCGCTTTGGCAGGGATCAGTTTAACAGCAGCATGTTTCCAACTGTTGTTTGGTCAAATTGTTTTACAGAAGCTAAGCCATTGCCAAACTTTCCACCTCCTACTCAAATAGAACAAGATTCTCTCTGTTAGGATTCTGTCTCCTTTTTGTCACAGAAGTGAAGCAAAATCACTTCATTTTTGGACATTTTACTTCTTCATAGACATTATACCACCTAATAGTTAACATTGTATATGTATTTTTGATCATGGAGGTTACAGACATGTCGGTGTGAATGGTGTTTCACATTTCAACACTGGATGATAATATTTGGAAGTTCAATTAATAACTCTTAGAATTCTGTTCTTAATGTAGTGGTGGAGGAGGGTTTTCTTTTGGGAAACCACCAGGTCATAGGAGGAGTGGCTCTGGCGCCAGTTGTCTTGAAGTAGTAGTAGTCATAATTTGCACCTCCATTTTAGTGTTGTATAAATTGATTGTTCTTTCCCCTGGTCTAGATCCTATGTTCGTTATATTAGAATGATTAGCTTGGCTTTCAGTCCCCAGGCAGATGGGATCCTGCAGGTGCGCTGAATGTTGTCCCCCTCTGTCCCTCTGGCTGAGCGTTACACTAAAGTTCACACCAAGTTCACAACGAAGTCCAAATGTTTCTTTGGCAAACAAGCGCTAGTAAAGGCGATGGCACACGGCACATAGCTGTGATTGTAAAGCGGAAGTGGGAGAGCGGGGGGGAGGGCCAGGAGGTGGGGGAGGGTCTGTTTGCCTTGGCCTGACTTTTGTCCCAGACCCCCCCCACAGACACCCACACACACACACACACACACACCCCACCCGCCATCTCCTCCCCTTTTCCCTACCAAAGTTTGAGGTGCGGGTATGAGTTGACATGTCAAAAGATATAAAACGTAACCTTAATCTGCCGCTTTTCCTTCCTTCCTTCCGTCCATCCTTCCTTTTTCCTTCCAATGAGTGTTGTCGGTGTAAATAGCAGAGTCACATTCCAGAGGAGTTCAGTCATGTTTGCCCCCCCCCCATCTATCTCTTTCTGTCTCTCACACACGCACACATAGACACACACACACCTGTTATCAGTAAAGTCTGTGCCCTCTGGTGTTGTTTCTTGTGTGTTCTTTCCACTTGGCCTTAAGTTGTCATTTTTACCTCTTACGCTGAGTTGGAAGAAGCACAATTTTAAAGATCCTGTATAACACCAAATTTTGACTGTTAGCAGTTGTTACCTCCTCAAAAACATACCTGGAGTTGAGTTTTGTTTCATTCACACGTTTGAGTCACCCTTTATTATTAGTCCATCTATGTCTCTAAAGCTCAAAATGTTCCAAAAGTTCTGATGTAATTTCTTTTCTCTGTGAAGATGTCATTCCTCTGTCTGGAACTACAGGTGGTTTTATAGGTCAAAAATACCTAGAAAAACAAACATTCTGACTGTGAGCGGGGTTGTCTCTTCACAGATCTGACCTGTAACTTGTTTTCTCAGTGATGATAGAAAGATTTAAAGCCATACTGTGAAATTCCAGCCGAAGCAATAACACGGAGACACGCATTTGAACATCTGACGGGCCCTTCACCAGAAAAGTTACGCAATGCACATTTTAAGCAGAGTTTTGGTCATCACTGATTACTTTTGGTCCGTTGTACTCATCAGATATTACACAAAATTGTTGGCAGACAAAATGACTGCTCCATGTGGTGTTCAGCCCACGGTCTCTGAGAAGTCCCCCAGCCTTACCCAACCCAGCTCCAAGACACAGCCAAAAGGAACCTCATTTGCTGTTGTGTAAAAGGCCACTAATCCAGTGTGTCTCCTTGTAATAACCCTCAGGGAAAACTCTCCACAGCAACAAAGTGAATTGTGGGAAATGAAGTTCTGTGTCTTTCCTGGCAAGCCCCCTGCCTCCTCCGTCTCTCCTTGTTTCATTTGGCATCCAGCTGTTTAAAATGAGTGTGTGGATAAGTGGGGGGGATTACTGTGGGAACCAAGGCATTATGAGATGGAAAGGAGAAATGTCTTGAGACGAGGGCAGGGGGACAAACTGCTCAGGGCTACAGCAGGCCGCTAATGCAACTTTATTTACTCTTTGGAATACCTGCACTGAAGGACAGCAGCATGTTGTGATCAAGACCTGTCTAATATCTGATTGTGGGTCTTTAGAATTTAAAAAATCCACATGTTGATCTTTTTTCTTAGACACAAACTGCATTGTTGTAATTTTTAAGTTAACCATGCCTTTGTGGTTAAATCTTGGACTCCAAGATATTGTGAAATAAATTACCTTAGTTTATATTTGCTGACAGAGAGCACTTTTAACCATTTTAGTCTATTCTGTTATTCTATTCTATTCTGTTTTTATTGTTTTTATTCCATGTGAATAAACCTTGTAGCTACAGAGATGAGAGTTAAGAATAATTAAAATAATGATGCATAAATCACCTTTTAAAACACTCAAAGTACTGACTAATATTCCTGAGTATTGTTAAAATGTTTAAAATCAAAATTAAGTAAAATATTAACTGTCTAATGAAGCTAATATTAATGTAATTGTAAGGACAAACCCTTGTCATTTGCAAGGCAGAGTAACCTAAACTTTTACTTGAGTAAGAGTACAGTTACACTGTACAATATATGACTCAAAGAGGTGTAAAAGTATGCTGTCCTCATCAAGTGCAACTTTATTTCAAACAGTTACACTGGTAAACCAGCTCCGATTAAGATAATGATAGTAATTATGTCCTACTTATGTGGTATATTCACAAATGATACTTGCTTGTTGATTTAGTTTTGATACCAGCTTTAATTTGGCTTGGTATCTAATCTTCTGTACCTTTGGCCACCCTTCTATAGACCAACCTGTAGGCGGGTATGTCCCGTGCCTGGAGCAGACTGAACTTCTGCCTGAGTGCTGTAGAATGAGGCTGGCTCTTCAAGTGAGAGCCAGGTGGGGCCCTGTTGTTTGGAGTGTTCAGTTTGAAGCTGCAGCTGTGTTTCTCTTAAACATAGTGTGGTTTGTGTCTCTCATGTTTAGGCTCCTCAGGACTTCAAAGACCTGCATGAGGACTCTGTAATTAGCTTTGGATCCACCTTAAAGCACATTGCACTACTATCCAGGCCATTATTACTTTATCTGAGTTTTATCATCCTCCATACTGTCCAGATGTGCAGCTGCCCTCATGGAAAAATATAATATTGGAGACATATTATATAGACTATAGACTACAGGCACTGGAGGATTGTACTTTTTGTGCATGTTTTGCAACCTCTGCACAAAAAAAGCTCTGGAGGGCAAACGCAGAGCCTTACTGCTGTGAAGCATGAGTGCTAGCCCCTTTGCCATAGTTCCAGTGATCAAAATGTTAAATTATGATCCATGTATGTTTTGCTACCAGGAAATAAGCCTGCTATCTTTTCTTAAAACATGCATTAATAGTAAACTGTATTCTTTAGAAAGCACTGCATTGTGGGATCAAGCTGACAGAGAAACTGTTCTGGTAAAAGGGCTGACACCAGGGCTATTCCATGAAGCAAGCTTAAAGTGAAAGCCTGGCTTATTTGGGCAAACCAGACTTATCAAAGCCTCAGTTCCCTTCCACCAAAATGACTAACCAGAGGTGACCTTGAGTTTCCACAGTAACAAGCATCTGGAAACAAACCTGGTCAGGAGCAAAGTAACTGTCATGATTATTGAGCTCTGTCTTCAAGAAAGTCTAAAGAAAGAGTTTAGTCAAAAGTTTCAGCACATGCAGCACACACCTGTGTCAGAACACCTATGTCTGATACAGTTAAAAAAGTGACTTTTATAGTCACGTGTCGGTTGAGACTTTTACAGTCCATACGCTCCTGCACACGGGACACACGTGTATGTGGACGCTACACTCATCAGAAAAGCACAAACCATAGGCCATGGTCATTATTTCATTAAAATAATCTTGCACTTGTGGCTGTTGTGAGGGGCAGTGCAGCTTTTACACACAGACAGACACTGGTTTGGACTGATTTTCAGTGGGTTTTGTCTGTGCACTCCTTCATCATGTCTGTCTCGTTCTTTTCATTCATTCTCATTCTCTTCTTTCCTGTCACTCCTAAGATCAGAATTACCTTAAAAGTTCTGTGGCCCAAATCAAACTCTGCAGGTGTATGCTGTGGCTCCTCTTTTGTTTAGTCAGATCATAAAAAACATAATTTTTTTTTCCTTGATGTCGTTGTCGTTCCATTGTTCTGGCCTGCCCAGACTCACCGCGAGCTCACACAAAGCACAGCTTAAACTTCAGGCCTGACTTAGCTTTGGTTTGACCAAGGTTTATTTCTGTCATGGAATGACTTGAGGCTTAAGCTAAAGTTGGAGCTAGATTCAGCTCAGGATTTTAGGATAAGTCTGAACTTGTTAAGCCACTTCGATGGAAA